CAAGAAACTTTAAACTTTATTTTCTAACAGACAAAACTCACTCGATACCCCCCAAAAATAAGAAAATAATAAAAAGGGGGGAAAAAAGTTCTAATTTATACATTTATAGATCAGAATTTTAGGAAAAAGAAATACAGAATGGATGTGAGGACCTGTGACCATAATTAAATGAAAGGGAATACTGGTCATTAGTAAAGAGGGGAAATTGAAAATGAGGGCTCACTTAAGAACACTTAAAGCTTATTTAATAACAGGGCTCAGAAAGTGTTCAGTCCAAATCTGTTATGCTCATTAACCTACTGGAAACTAATGGCACACTTGAAACTACTTCATCAATAACCTTCCAATTAGTCTAGTTCTTAGGGGAAGAGAAAGTGCCCCTATGTGCGGTCCCCTTGCCCTCCCCTGGTCAGAGCACTGTGTGCTATTTGCCAGCACTTACTTCCCTGGCTCCTGGCAAGATAAGAGTTCTCCCTCGCAATTCACAGCATCAGCAAGCTGCCAGCATTGATATCTGCATGCTGCTTTCTATAAAGATGATACTTACTGGCTAACATGAGCTCTCATCTGTGGCTTTCTCTATGGATGCTAATTCGAATGTAATTTTAAAATTCTGTTTTAGATTATATCTTCTTCCTGTAACATGTAATGAAGCTGCTCTCTAAAGAGGCCTCTTGACTTTCACTAGAGAACTGCAGTACAAGCACAAATGACTTAGAAGGATCATGGGTATCAACTTACAGAGATAATATCAACAGTAGTCACTTATCCAATACATCTATTCAAGCTTACACCTCATAAACGTTCTGCTTATATTTGCCTCAGTTCACTGTAAATCTCCCTTTCATTACTGTTCACAATCCACAAACATTACTTTTTTTGATGTATTCTAGAGGCAAACATATTTACACTTGGAAAGGAAATTAAATATACCAAATATCTAATGAGCAGTTCCCTTCTGTCTTTAACATACTCAAGGGCCATTGTTTTAGTGCTGCAATGAAATAAAACCTTTTCTTCAACAGAAGCGTGCTGGCATACTTTCATCATCACTTGTATCTATTTTCAGCACGTATTTGTTGACTGTTCTAGAGCTCATTAAATTAAACACTTTTGGAAAGTGTTTTTGTGTTCCAACGACAATAATTTAAAAAATGGTATTCATGCTGCTTAGATTACATGAAGTGCACTTAGATAACTTTTTAGAATCTAAAGGCAATGATATGTACCTGTTGTCCTTGTTAAGTACCTATAATTGAGGGGAAATTGATGAGCAAATACAAAGAAAATTGAAAAATGATCCAAACTAGGATTGAAAAATTATTAACAACCATTATAAACATGCATGGTTGTTAAACTAAGACATTTGGAATTATGGAAAAAGAGGAAATAAATAGAACTCACGTAAAGAGAACATCAGGAGTAAAGTTGTGTAATAATAAGATAAATTATATGTACCATATTTTTTACCTCTGTTCTTTGCAGCACATTTTTCCTTGATGCATCTACTTATTTCTCCTCTGGAGATACTAGCAGAATTGTTGGCCCTTCAGGTTTTCAGTAGTTTAGTAATGACAATGAAATGAAGCAATGTCAAATATGTTTGCACTAAAGTGCAGCAAAATTTGTTAAATCTACCACATAGGCAAATTCTGTTGTATTCTCCCAAATCTAATAATTTTCTAAATCATCTAGTTTCCACTCTCTATCAATTCTCACTTTTAGTGAATAAAGGTCTTTTCTTTCAAGTAATTGAGTAGTCAAGCTAAAAACACTAACAACTTGGCCATGTATGAAGACTACATGGGCTTTTATGGAGATGGCAGCGATTTCTTGTTGAATGCTTATGTCAATGATACAGACTACAGCAACAGAAGGATTAGTAGCACTTCCATCAGGAGTGTGTCAGAGACCTCCCTGTGTTCTGAGCACAGAAAGGAAAAGCATCTTCCTAAAGTTCAGAACAGATCAGGACCTCCACTTTCCCCTCCACTCCTGCAGGTAGGTGATGGTAGCTACTTTTCAGAATCCATGGTTCAAGGCACAGATGTTGCTTTCTCTCTAAACTCTTTCACAAAATCTTTAGTGACTAATAAAGTTCGGGGTTGCTGTGGTTACGTTGATAACATCACACAGTACATGTCCATTTCCAAACAGAACAATCTTAGGTTTTAGAATCAATTTTGCAACCAAATATTTTCCAGTTAATTTAAAAGCTGCTTTCCAGAAACAATTTATATTATGCATTTTAAGATTCTCATTTCTCAAATGCTCCTTAGTAAACTCATTTACCAAGAGCAAAAATAGATGGGCCTTGAACACACTAAAACCTACTTTGTTCACTGAAGAGCAGGGGCACTCAAGCAGATGAGGAGCCTATCATGTTCAGTCTCTTCTTTCCAAGTAACCAGTAGTAGATGTGTAGGGATAGATGTGTCAGGCATCTGTCTGTTAGGTAGTTCTTCTATCAGTATCTTTCTCCCTTCCAGCAATCAGTAGCAGAGGGACCTATTCTTCCGGACTGAGTTCATATCTGTCTGCTCCTTTGTTAACTGGTGCTGGAGCATGTCCAGAACAACAAAGATGGTGAAGGGTCTGGAGCACAAGTCCTGTGAGGAACATCTGAGGGAACTGGGGTTGTTTAGCCTGGAGAAGGCTAAACAAAGGCTCAGGGGAGACCTTATCCTCTCTACAGCTACCTGAAAGGAAGTGGCAGAGAAGTGGGTGTTGGTTTCTCCTCCCAGGTAACAAGCAATAGGACAAGAGGAAACAGCCTCAAGTTGCACCAGGGGAGGTTTACATTGGATATTAGGAAAAATATCTTCACCAAAAGGGTTGAGGTGGTTGAGCCACAATACCTGGAGGTATTTAAGGGATGTGTGGACGAGGTGCATGGATTAGTGGTGGTATTAGTAGTGTTAGGTTAAGGGTTGTACTTAATGATCTTAATAGTACTTAATATTTTGCAATGTAAAAGATTCTATGATTCTATTGTAATAACTGCTGAGCATGAGACTTGTCCAGCAGATACCTCATGCAATATGACTATGCATAGGGTCACAAACTTCAGTCTCACTCAATGCAGTTCTTTCCCAGCAGAGTTAATAGGAACTCAGTAGTGAAGTATCAAATATTTATCAGCAACTTCAGACCTGAGCATGTTCCTCCCACATCTCATGGGGCCTCTTCCCCTGCAAATCACACCAACCAGCAGTGGAAGATTGTGTGTACTGTGCTTTTCTTTGAATCCTTCCTCCTAGTGTGCATCACTTTTAGGTCATGATTACATTTGCACCTATCTCAGTGAGGAAAGGGCTTTGTTCAGAAAGAGCCACCTAAATCCTTTCCCTCTTCGGAACAGTCCTAAAAGGACAAGGAGTACCACTATGCAAACATCAAGGTCAGATGCCAGTAGTACAAGAAGGTCAGTAGTCATGATAGAAAACACAATTGCCTGTACACCCATGACTGATTGGTTACGTTTGACAGCCCTCTGCTTCATGACATTGATAGATACAGCGAGTGTGAAATTTAGCTTCAGTGACTCCAGCCTCTTGTTACAGCTTTCTCTAATGTGCCATGGCAGAGATGCTGAGAGGTGCTCAAACTTGAAAGGACCCAATATTAAAGACGACATAACAGCGATGGTTCTCACTTTGCACCAACCAGGCTTCCTCTCCGTTCCCACAACACATGGGAAGCAGCAGAGGTGGCCAGTGCTTAGTTCGCTTAGTTCAGCAGTAAGAGAACTGTCATGTTTGACATGTATCTTCAGAGCTGTGATCAGCTCGGGGATGTCTGCCTCAAGTGTTCCCTCAGATGATCAATAAAAACATGACTGCTTAATGATGGCAGCCCTCTAATTAAGGCACAGTGGTCTAGGCCTAGAACCGATTTTAATCAAAAGAACTGCTTAATTATCCACACACTTTACAAATGAGCTCACTTATACACAATTTGAGTGAGTGGTTTGAAGGCAAAAATGGTTTACGGAAATCTGTAGGAGCAGATACCCTCAGATCCATATTGCCAGTCCTCTGCTGTAACCTTTTCAGTACAATACGTTCATTTTGTGTTTCTCTCTGTGACCAAAGCGGATTCAGGAGAAAAACGGGGAGTCACTCAGTGATTTCTGACACGCCTGTCCTTGTGGACTGAGACTACAGAGGTTATGGCAGCTGCCTTCCAGACCTTGGTGGCACAGAACTAGAAGACTGATTTAACTTGCAAAGCTAAATGACTGAAGTGTCAGGGTAAAGGTAACAGTGTTGTCCACAGCAATACTGGTATAGACTGTTAACGCCAGTCAGAAATTTTCTATGTAAAGTCCCTCTGAAGCAAATGGGAATGAACATCCAATCCATACACATCTATGAAAAACTCATCTCTTTTACATCATACACTTCTCTCTAAACATAACAACAACTAAAATCAGCATAACAGGGGTTGTACTGTATGTACAAAATGATTTCATCAAACTACACAGGTAAAAAGTTAACTACAGATACCACTCCTTGTCCTTAAAGGTACTGAACAAATCCACTGGACAACACATAAGTTTTCTGGTTTATAGCACAGTCTCCTCTAGTCATGTTTATTGCTACTTATTTATTAATACTAGAGGACTGAGGTTCTATCAATTAAAGAGGTACTGTATACTTATGGAGGTATGTGCACATATGTTTTTACTACAGAAAAGAGAAGATAAAAACATTAAACTTTAATAAGTGATTTAAGCTAATGTTTGCAACAGACAGAGCACACACAGAAGTGGTCAGATTGCACTCAGATGACATGGGGTGACTCATTAAGCAACAGTAATTCAAATTTATTGGAACCCTTGCTTTTCCAGAACTGTCCTCTCTCTTCAGATGTATCAGACATTTGAGCTTTTGACTTTTAGTCGCAAACACACAAACTGTACAGATATCATCTGAAGCTTGATACATACATTTCAAAAACAGGCACTTTATAAGGAAGCTCACAAGTCAGATACTCACTGATCTGGTTGGTAGACGCACTATAAAAAGCATTTACAGTAGTTGGGCTTGTAAACCACCTGTAGTAAAAGCAAAAGAAATCATCTGTCAGAACACTTGCACATCTTCATTAATAGAATGGGTAAAGATAAAATGTGAACTCAGTGGAAGGAAGCAAAAATGCGAAAAACATAGTATACATTAAAGGTTAATTATTTCCCCATTTTAACACATGCTACCTACACATTCCAGAAGTGCTGTTTAATGGCTTCATTTTAAATGCATACAGTTAATGAATCTTCAACAGGAGCTATTATAAGTTTCCTATTACTTACTCTGTTTTATTTCTAAGGCACCATTGTGCTTCTGAAGTGTGCTGTGCTAATGAACTGAAGTTCACCAAACAGAGGCCGCAACACTGACCACAGCTGTGAAAACTCTCTTAGGTGTCTTTCAACCGAGTGAGGGGAAACTCTCTCTTGAAATTAGAGGAGAACATTTTGAAATGAGTGAAGTGGCTTCAGACACTTTGTTGAACAGCTACTTGAACAAATAGGATGATGCCAGCAACATCAGCAGGTGCTTTCTGGGAGCCTAAATTCAAAATAAACAGCTTCACATTTGGTACCCTACACAATGAACACAGCTATCAGTGTGCTCATAAACAAATGGGCCTCTTGCAAGGCAAAACAAATTTTAAAAGGAATATTAGCATTTCTTATCATAGTTAGATTTCTCATACATACCAGTGGGAACCCTAGATTTGAATAGCAAACAGGATTTACAAATTTCCTTAGCCTGAGCTCATCTATATTCACAGTGGTTTCACCCATATGAATGAAAATCTCAGCTGGCTTCAGCAAGATCCAAATCCCCTCAGATGAAACTGTGAGTTCAGTCAGTCCCAGATTTCATTTAATGATTTTATAAGGAAGAACTGAGATAAAAGAAAAGTAATAGAGATTATGACAATTATTGGTTAATTATTAATAAATCCGACTCTAATAAGTGTCCAAACAGGAGCATCCTGATGTCTTTAGCAATACTTCACTCAGAAGTTTTGTAAAGCCAAATGAATGCAATGAAATTGCTTTGGAAAATTTCTTTCAAAGAGATGGGAGCTGCAAAACAAAGAGTAAGACAAAGGAAGATCTATCAGAACATGGAAAATGTATGATGTCAGTGACATTCAGGTACATGATCTGTTCTTTAAAATAGCAGCATCAAACAAATGAGTTCTCTTCAGATCCTGACTTTTTCTGCAAACTGGTGTCCTCACGTAAACCATGCAACAAAGGGAAGAGTTTTAGAATGGCAGCATTTTGTCTTTTATCAATAAGTCTATCTGCTTCTCTCATCTTCAAAGCTGAGAAGCTTATTTTACCATGCGGCAACTGGAAAATCTAACCAATGAAAGCAAAGGTAGTCTCATGTAAATATCTTAACCATCCATCACATTATAGGCTCTAATTGCCACAGATAACCCTCCCTGTTTTGTTTACTAGGAGATTCTGAAGGGGAGAAGCAGGGGGAGGTTGTTTTCTGGTGTGTTTTCTGTTTCCTTTGTAATAAAGAGATTAAATGTTAGAGGCAATGTAGTGAGATAATGGAAAATTGAGGAAAGAATGCTTATGGTGAGGAGATAAGGGAAAAAATTAGGGGGCTTAATTAACTACATTTCAATTTCGTGTTTATTCACAGCAGCAATCAGCGGAACAGTTTTGAAAGATGCAAGCCAGGCACTTATGTGGTGGGATGTATTCTCCAGTTTTCTCTGGAGGACTCTGTCCTTTTTATCACAAAGAGAGAACCCATCTGAAAGGGACCCATCTAAAACAATCAGCACTTTAATTTAGATTTTATTGTGAGTTTAAACAAAGGCACATAGCACTGTGACTTCCACCTCACCCTGTTAGCTTGTTCTACTCACAACGGCTTTTCTGTTCTCTAGAACAGCAATTTTTAAGCACGAAAAAGGCTTTCAGGACAAATGCATTCTTCCTTTTTGCAAATCCTTCTTAGCACAAGTGTCTTGCAAGACCTCTCATTTCCAGTCACAGGACCAAGGGCCTGAGACAGACAACAGTTACTTCAGAACGGACTAATGTGCTTTGCTCTTCTCCCCATCCCCTTTGCTGCTGCAGCCCCAGGAGCTCACCACAGCTGGTTCAAGACAGGAACCACCACAAGCAGTGGTTAAAGAGCTCTTCATGGGCAAGTGACAATTCTCTAACAGTACAAGTTTGCACCTGGTTTTATTTGGTGAGGAGCTAACCAGTGATGCATGTACTCGTCACCACCGGAGCACCTTCCTCTGCCTAAGGGCAACTGCAGATGCTGTTGCCGTTTGGTCTGCAGCCACCAAGGGAAGATATCATCCCACTGCTGGCCATGCTTTCATGTCTATGAACTCGGAGACTTCTAGCTCATAGGCTAGCTGCTAAGACTCACAACATCATCCCCATCTTGAAACTGCTTCTTTCTTCATGACTTACCACCACAGTAACAGAGCCCATCCTGTTTCCTGAGCTTAGTACGAGCCAAAGACCAATAGCAGCCTCAATTTTCTCACCATAAAACTGAACTAAGTTCTTTCAAAGGTCCTTTTTCATAATGAGGCCTCAAGAATGACCTGTGTGAAGTCTGTTATGTTTTTAAGGAATTTGGAAAAGGAGACTTAGCAGCTATAACAAGGAGTCAGGAAGAACAAGAGTTGTCTAGTGACAAGCAGAGTATACTGCTGAATTTCATGTTTGACATTTAGACACTTGGCAGGGAGCATATTTACACTCCAGTATTTTGATGTACCATTCTGAGCCACTCTCAAGATTCAGGAAGCATTTTCCACATAAGAGCAGAAATAACCAAGACTGCTTCCATTCAGACCAAGCAGAACAACTGCACCCCTTATCTGCCATCCTCTTTCAGTGAGCTCCTTGGAACGACTGAACCTTCAGTGACTGACCTTAACTAGTAACACATCAATTACTATATCAAGGTCTGTAATAAACAGCTGTCGCTGTTAAATTTTAAGGTGAAGCAAATTTAGAAATCTCTCTCTCGCTCCTGTTTGAAATCAGGTTGACTGGGCATTTGCTCTAGGTCTGGTTACAATTTCAGTGCATTTGATCTGTTAACAGAAGGATAGAAAAAAACAGATAGGCATAACAAACTCTAAGATCTTATTAATTACAAAATAAATTAAAAAATCTGGAATTTTTTACACTGTTTCCATTTGCTGTTAACATGTGAAAAAGGGTCAGCTTTGAATGATGTCATGAAACATTACCTATCAACTACTGCAGCAGTCAAAACCTAATGTTGTGAAGTTGACACCCCTAACTTTGAGATTTCTCTTACAGTAATAAAATCTGAAACCTGCACTGAGACAGCAAGTAGGGCAGATAAACTCTTAGGTCTGTGCTTCTTTAGGCTACAATTTTCCCTGTGGTAACTTCTTTTTGGAATTGAGAGTATAGTGTGCTACATTGCCTTTCACAAAGAGGGGTGACAGGGAACATTTACAGTACACTGAAAAGCTTATTAATCTGTTTAATTCTCTGTAAAGCACAAACTGAACTTCCATTTTGTTCTCTCAGCTTCTGAGTTAGAAGAAAATATCCAGGTGGAGCGTAATTTAGTGTTCAATGTCCCAGATAAATTTAAAAAAAAAATTCATACAAGTAAATAAAATGAACTTGTGAATGTGCAACACAATTATGTTGGTTAGAAGTGAAAGGCTGTACAAAGTTACTAATGAAGCTGGAATCTGGAAAATTTGTTTCCAGGAAAAGACCTGAGAAAAAATTCTGAAGTGAAAGCAATCTTCAAGGTGACTTTCAAAAGGCTCCAGGAGGCTCCTTTCCAGCCTCTCCTCTCCAGGGCAGGTCCACACACAGGATTTCTGAGCTGTCCAGCAGCATCTCTCCAAGAGACAACAGCCTGCCTAGTGTGTTTCATGGCTGCTTTTCCCATTTGAAGAAAGAGATTTTGCACTGTCCTTAATGGCATCCAACCCAGCACCTCTCAGAGCTGCCCTCCCCCGCAGCGATCCGAGAGCCAGGGATTACAAACAATTAAACTGTGTGGTCAAGAAACTGGAATAGGTCCTGGAGGCAACCCAGGAATCTTCTAGTATACTTCCTCTGTGTCCTCTTACAGAGCTACTGGATGCACATATATCCAGCATGGAAAGTTGAGTGAAATGTGAAGAAAGATTTGGCCAGGTCCAAAAATTTTAGAGATGTCCTGACTTCAAAGGAGAAAGATTAATAATAATAATAATAAAGTGGTATGCCCAAGAAGTCCTCTGATGCCCTGCTATTTGCAAGTATGATATCTGTGTTAAGATGAACAGATTCAATCACCGTTAAAAAGGTGCGGAAGTGTGTTTATATATACTTACGTATGTCTGTGCATGTATATTTGTACATATACTTACATATATGGCTCCATGCATCCATGGATTTTCTTTTATCTCTCCCTTCCGCATGGGCATCATTTCCCCACACCCTGCTCTAGTCACCTCTCACCTTAATTGTTATAATTGTCTTCATGCCTAGTTCCCGCCCTCCCACCTTCCCCCTTCCAGCCTTACCCCTCCACTCAGCCTTATTGATCCAGCTTGTGCCATGTTATGCATCATATTCCTCAGTTCCTGTCAAAAATCCCTTTCCTATGTCTCTCTCCTGATACCCAATCACTTTTTCCCTGGTTTGATAGGGCCAGCTGTGACGATGACAACCATGTTCCCAGCCAGCTGTTAAGATCGCATCTGGCATCCAAAGCGGATGTTGAGGACAGCAAGTTGCTTCTCCTGTGGCTGTGGTACCCATGGGGGAGCCAGGACCTGGGACTGGCTGAGCAGGTGGCTCTGGCATCCCAATGCTCTGTCACAGCTGCTCAGTACCTGTCGGGCTGGGTACATGCCCCTACCCCTGCCTGGAGCAATGCCTCATCTGACTCCCTCTGTACTCCTTTTACCTGGAACCATGTAACTGTTGGGCAGGGAGTGAGCAAAACAGAGGACAAATGATTTTGATAATTACTCCTGCTTTGGAGGATTTTTATTCACTTTTCCTAGATTATGAAACTGTTCAATTTCCAGAATAATGTATTTCCACTTTGATTTCCATATTCCCCCTCACTTTAAAAATCTCCTTTGTCTTGTACCTCCCAGCTTCTCTGTCTGTCCTGATGGTGTTTCCCTGGTACTTTGAGTGAACCATAATTTTCATTTTCCATTTAGTTGACTATGATGAGGCAAACAAGTCCAGTTTGAAATAATATTGCTAAGAAATCTGTAGTCTGCTAAATATAGTGCTTTACCTTTGGGGGTTAATATTACTTTCCTAGGTGGTAACTTATATCCTTAAACACTCATTTTCTCATTTATCTTTATCAGCCCACGACTTGGACCATCTTATAATATCTATCTATAAATATAAATATTATGCTAAAAGCTACTGAACTAGAAAAACGAAGAAAGCAAACAGAAACAAAACCTCAAGGGTATTTCTCTATTAATACACTGCCAAGCTTCAGTGCAGACCAAGTTTTATGAAATATAAAAACTTGAAAAAAGCAAAAGCAGAAAAAGAAAGAAAAAAAAAAAGAGGTTAAAACATCAGAAAGCAGTGTAGTCCAATAGTTAAAATGTGGCAACTGCTGATATTTTTAAGGCCACATTTGACATGACTCAGACTGGTGGCTGGGAGTTATTGGTTTATTATAATAAATTTTTTAAAAATTACTGGAAGTGGCAATGACTCTCAGTGCCTTGGTACCCCTCAGCAGACACAGCAAAAGCAGACAGTGTGACACCACTTTCAGAGCCCTTTTCTATAACCGAGCAGGTACAAAGGCAGAATAATCTCCCAGCAGG